GAGTGCGCCATACCACCGATCGGTCATCTTCAGACCGGCCCATTGTCCTTCCCCTTGGCTGCCTCTGAAAAACAGTTCAGCTTGGCCCTGCATTCTATATGGCCAAATGCCTTGTAATCCCTATTAAAACCTCTCCTGATATGAAATGGCTGAACAGTTACTTAGGTAACGCCCCTCGTTCTTGGTTCCGCCCACCAACGGATACCCGCATATATCTGATTACTTGCCAGGACTCCTCCTTGAAGGAGAAGTCTGGTTAAAGCCCCTCCGGCCATACTTGTGTGGGTCACCGGGCTGCACTTTGGCCCTCTATCAGCTCCCTATGGCCACTGTCGGCTGAGATCACAGAGCCAGTCCAGGAACTGCAGGGATCCTGACAATGTCAGGATCCACCCTGATGCCTTAGAAGCTGGCTCAGCCTATCAGAGAGCTAACTGGTCCCGCTCACTCCACACCTTGATGCTCGAGTACTGGCCTAACACAGGTGGCGGTGTGTGTGTGTGCACCAGGTCACATGGTACAGAAGTGTCATGTGATCCGATCAGAAGTGTCATACGATCCGGTTGCTGTTTTGTAAGTAGGGAATGCACTACTTTTACTGTGGTCCAGCGCAATTTCAGCCCACTCAAATGAATGGGCTAAACTTGCGCTGAACTGCAGCAAAAGTTGGCCCCGCCCTTTCCCCGCACATGACCTTTAATGGCCCCCCAGTCTCAGTCCGTAAGGTTCAATATTGAGTTGGCCCCGCCCTTTCCACACACATGACCTTTAATGGCCCCCCAGTCTTGGTCCGTAGGGTTCAATATTGAGTTGGCCCCGCCCTTTCCACACACATGACCTTTAATGGCCCCCCAGTCTCAGTCCGTAAGGTTCAATATTGAGTTGGCCCCGCCCTTTCCACACACATGACCTTTAATGGCCCCCCCAGTCTTGGTCCGTAGGGTTCAATATTGAGTTGGCCCCGCCCTTTCCACACACATGACCTTTAATGGCCCCCCAGTCTCAGTCCGTAAGGTTCAATATTGAGTTGGCCCCGCCCTTTCCACACACATGACCTTTAATGGCCCCCCAGTTTTAGTCCGTAGGGTTCAATATTGAGTTGGCCCCACCCTTTGCAGCTATAACAGCTTCAACTCTTCTGGGAAGGCCGTCCACAAGGTTTAGGAGGGTGTCTATGGGAAGGTTGGACCATTCTTCCAGAAGCACATTTGTCAGGTCAGGCACTGATGTCGGGGGAGGAGGCCTGGCTCGCAGTCTCCGCTCTAATTCATCCCAAAGGTGTTCTATGGGGTTGAGGTCAGGACTCTGTGCAGGACAGTCAAGTTCCTCCACCCCAAACTGGCTCCTCCATGTCTTTATGGACCTTGCTTTGTGCACTGGTGGCAGTCATGTTGGAACAGGAAGGGACCATCCCCAAACTCCTCCCACAAAGTTGGGAGCATGAAACTGTCCAAAATGTCACCTTAAGACTTCCCTTCACTAGAACTAGGGGGCCAAGCCCAACCCCTGAAAAACAACTCCACACCATAATCCCCCCTCCACCCATTGTTACACTTGGCACAATGCAGTCAGGAAAGTACCGTTCTCCTGGCAACCGCAAAACCAAAAGACGTCCATCGGATTGCCAGCCAGAGAAGCGTGATTGGTCACTCCAGAGAACACATCTCTACTGCTCTAGAGTCCAGTGGTGGCGTGCTTTACACCACTGCATCCGACGCTTTGCATTGCACTTGGTGATGGAAGGCTTGGATGCAGCTGCTCGGCCATGGAAACCCATTTCCATGAAGCTCTCTACGCACTGTTGTTGGGCTCATCTGAAGGCCACACCAAGTTTGGGGGTCTTTAGCTATTGACTCTGCAGACAGTTGGCGACTTCTGCGCACTGTGCGCTTCAGCATGCGCTGACCCCGCCCTGTCATGTGACGTGGCCTACCACTTGGTGGCTGAGTGGCTGTTGTTCCCAGTGGCTTCCACTTTGTTATAATCCCACTAACAGTTGAGCGTGGAATATTTAGTAGCCAGGAAATGTCACGGATGGACTTATTGCCCAGGTGGCCACCTATCACGGGACCACGCTTGGAGTCACTGAGCTCCTGAGAGCGATCCATTCTTTCACCAATGTTTGTAGAAGCAGTCTGCATGCCTAGGAGCTTGATTGTATACACCTGTGTCCATGGAGGGGATTGGAACACCTGAATCACATGATTGGGAGGGGATTGGGCCACCAAAATCACATGATATGGAGGGGATTGGAACACCTGAATCACATGACAATGGAGGGGATTGGAGCACCTGAATCACATGATATGGAGGGGATTGGAGCACCTGAATCACATGATATGGAGGGGATTGGAGCACCTGAATCACATGATATGGAGGGGATTGGAGCACCTGAATCACATGATATGGAGGGGATTGGAGCACCTGAATCACATGATATGGAGGGGATTGGAGCACCTGAATCACACGATATGGAGGGGATTGGCACACCTGAATCACACGATTGGGAGGGGATTGGCACACCTGAATCACACGATTGGGAGGGGATTGGAACACCTGAATCACACAATTGGGAGGGGATTGGAACACCTGAATCACACGATTGGGAGGGGATTGGAACACCTGAATCACACGATTGGGAGGGGATTGGAACACCTGAATCACACGATTGGGAGGGGATTGGAACACAAGAATCACACGATTGGGAGGGGATTGGAACACCTGAATCACACCATTGGGAGGGGATTGGAACACCTGAATCACACCATTGGGAGGGGATTGGAACACCTGAATCACACCATTGGGAGGGGATTGGAACACCTGAATCACACCATTGGGAGGGGATTGGAACACCTGAATCACACGATATGGAGGGGATTGGAACACCCGAATCACATGATATGGAGGGGATTGGAACACCTGAATCACATGATATGGAGGGCAGGCCTAATACTTTTGGCAACATAGTGTAGCAATTAGTAGGGGTTCCGTGAGGCCAGAACATTACTTCAAGGGTTCCTCCATGTTAAGGTGGAGAGCGGCTGATCTGGAACATTCCGCCAAACTCAGTTTTAGTGCCACAACTTCTGTGTAGAAGAAAGAAAACTCAAGACAATTTTTTTTTTTTTTTAATTTATTTACGAACATTATCTCTGAGGGACAACAGCATTTCTGGCCTTCTCTCTGTACATGCAGTTGTAGAAAATAACATTTGTGTCGTATTTCTGCAGGAAGTTGTATACAGCTGAATGATTGAACCGCAAAAAAGGGGCAGCGCAGTGCACAGGCAGCACCAGCACTGCCAAACAATATGTACACAACCAAGTGGAAAATAAAAAGAATAAAAAAAATGACAGTTACATTGAATGCAATCTGGCTGCTGTATCCATCCACACACTGTACGCAAGTGAACTGTTACAAAGGGTGTGGAACGACCTGCGAGATCGATATTTACACATATGTACAATGTCTCATAGAACCAATACAGGAGGGAAATATACAATCTGCTGAGACATCAATCAACATACCACAGGTGAGAGGAAAGGACACGCGTGTGCTAAAAGAATAAATAAAACCTTTCAGATTGAACTTTGATTGTGAACGACTCCATGCCTTGGTACTGGAAAACCACCTTAAAACGAACAAAAAATGACATCAATCCTCTATAGGAGGAGTCAGGAAATCTCACATTAAAGTGGCCGTGTGAAGAAAAATCAGCATCTGATGAGGGATTTTATGAGCGACATTCAGGGAATCTTCCACCCGACAGCACAAGAAAAACAAGGGGTGCCCCCTATACTAGTCACAGCCCCACCCCCATCCTTGACATCAGAGCACAACATACGGCTCTGACCTCAGCCCTTCATCAGGTGTCACCAGAGGAAGGAAGGTGTCATGAAATTCTTCAACATATACCTATGGAATTGGATGGAACGGGCCTGTGACTCACATAAGCAGCTCCCCGTGCGTTTATAATGCCCCATCAACATTAAATATGCAGAATATGCAGCTGATTCACAGCCTAGATGCTAGAGATATGTTGGCCATTAGCCTGCTGGGGGACGAGGATGGAGCGCTGCGTACAAAAGCCTCACACGGGGCGCACGGCCTCACACACGGGGCGCACGGCCTCACACACGGGGCGCACAGCATCATTCTGGATTGTTTCTGCACCCAGGAAACCAGGTGCTGCATAGATACCTATAGCCACAAGTAGGTGCTGCATGCTGCCCCCTATAGACAGGGCTGAGTACTGTCATACAGCCATTCACGAGTAGCTGCTGCATATTGATACCCAGAGACCCGAATGGCTGCATGCCAGTACTTGCATAGATCTGAGTATATGCTGCATACCGCCCCCTATAGACAGGGCTATGAGTACTGACAGCCAATCATGAGTAGGTGCTGCATACCGCCCCTATAGACAGGGCTATGAGTACTGACAGCCAATCATGAGTAGGTGCTGCATACCGCCCCCTATAGACAGGGCTATGAGTACTGACAGCCAATCATGAGTAGGTGCTGCATACCGCCCCCTATAGACAGGGCTATGAGGACTGGCATGCAGCCATTCATGTCTATGGGTATTTAAGCAGCAACTTCTCATGAATGGCTGTATGTCAGTACTCATACCCTGAGCAGGTGCTGCATACCACCCCCTATAGACAGGGCTATGAGTACTGACAGCCAGCCAATCATGAGTAGGTGCTGCATACCACCCCCTATAGACAGGGCTATGAGTACTGACAGCCAATCATGAGTATATGCTGCATACCGCCCCCTATAGACAGGGCTATGAGTACTGACAGCCAATCATGAGTAGGTGCTGCATACCACCCCCTATAGACAGGGCTATGAGTACTGACAACCAGCCAATCATGAGTAGGTGCTGCAAACCGCCCCCTATAGACAGGGCTATGAGTACTGACAGCTAGGCAATCATGAGTAGGTGCTGCATACCGCCCCCTATAGACATGAATGGCTGTGGGAGGCTGCATGCCAGTACTCGTAGCCCTTTCTGTAGGGGGCGGTATGCAGCACCTACTCAGATCTATGCAAGTACTGGCATACAGCCATTCAAGGGTAGGTGCTGCATACCGCCCCCTATAGACAGGGCTATGAGTACGGACTTATGATTGGCTGTGCCAGGCTGCGAGTAGGTGCTGCATACTGCCCCCTATAGACAGGGCAATGAATACTGACATACAGCCTGGCACAGCCATTCAAGGGTAGGTGCTGCATACCGCCCCCTATAGACAGGGCAATGAATACTGACATACAGTCTGGCACAGCCATTCAAGGGTAGGTGCTGCTTACAGATAGGCATAGACATGAATGGCTGCCTGCTGGCACTCATACACGTGAGTGGAGCACATGGACCCATTCGGAACACGTCTGTATGCTGCACACGAGTGAATACGTTGGTGTATACCTGTATACAGACATTAATATCTATGGGCAGCTGTACACAGCACTTGGGCTTCTTGGCTGCAGAAAACAAATCCAGAATATTCCATTGTACACCCCGTTCTGCACATGTGCAGGAGGCCATAAGATGACTGGTTTCTACCACCTCCAGCCACACAAAAGGAAAATCCTGACCCCTAATAGAACGAATTTACTGAGGAGGGACTGGATTTTGGTTTGGCAGCAAATTACACCTGAAAGAACAAGAGCGCCTCCTAGCGGTCACTATAAATGGGAACAAAAACTGGATTCGATTTTTGCGCCGGCCAAAAAGCCAACATTTTCCGTATCCAGACGGACGCAGGGAATCGGAACGCACACTGGGATCAGTACATAGGACTCACAATTTTCTACTGATTCTGCAGTAAAAGGGTACAAAAAAATTTGCATCATCCACTTGTAGCTTCCATGCTGTTGCCTCTGTATATTCAGAAGTGAATTTAGGATAAAATCTCACTGAGAACTCCTGTGCCGCCAGCCGGGATGTCTGATCTGGTTCTGTATTCACTGTGAACGATATTTGTTGGGGAGAGTAGAGGCGCAATGTGCTGTGAATGGAGAAATCTTCACCGACTCCTGTCATATCCTGGATGTTCTGATACCGGCTCAGAAACCAGGACTGGGCTGAGAGTCAGTGACTCACGGGACACGCCGCGCTCACGGGACACGCTACGTTCACATGACACCCCGCGCTCATGGGACACCCCATGTTCACAAGACACGCCGCGCTCACAGGACACCCTATGTTCACAGGACACCCCGCGATCATTGGACACCCCATGTTCACAAGACACGCCGCGCTCACAGGACACGCCGCGCTCTCAGGACACCCTACGTTGACAGAACACCCCGCGATCACGGGCCCACAGCCATTACAGGGGAGGAAAGACGCTGATCGCCGTCTGACTGATCGTCCTGTACTGTGGAATGTAATAAACCGCATGGCAAAGACCAAAAACATGCAAATTAAAAGACTAAAAATAAATAAAAAAAAACCCATACGAGGGGGAATTGTACGAGAGAGACCCCCTAACCAACGACGGGGCAAACCAGGCAGACCGGTAAGAGGGGCAAATCACCTTTCCAATCTGACAACAGACATCATCCAGTTTGACAAAATGAAGACACTAACAAGAATGGGATAAAACGATTCTCTATCGGTTTCTGAAGACAAATGAGCTGAAAAGGACAACTATTTAAATCCCGTTTATAGACTTCACCGCCCCCCCAAAAATCTACAGACCTCACCCTGATCCAGGATAAGGAAAGTCGGGTCCAGACAACTTCCAGGAAACCGAAAATCGATGTTCTTACAGCCAAAAGGTGAAGATGTCTAAACTGGAGGACTCGTGTTACGAGGCTTTTACACGGGCGTACTACAGTGCGAGGGCCGCGTTTTCCTGTATAGGGGTTGCTCGGGTGTTCCATGCATCCTTGTGCAGTTCTATTCATGCCAAGACAAAGTCGCTGCTCCCAATCTGACAGCAGTGCAGGCCACGACCCTGAACAGAGTTTGGGGACATGCACCCACATGGATGTCAGATTAGAAGCAGCTATTGCGTCCCAACTGACATGAATAGAACTGCACAAGGATGCATGGAATTCCTGCGCAACCCAACGTGGGCAAATGCAGCCCTCGCACAGGTGTATACGCATGTAAATGAGGGCTAACTGGTTCAAGAACAATTGTCTGCGCCAGGGATGGACACCCAGCAGCATACATGAAGGTCACTCCTGTCATTAGATAGAATCTCCATGTGATGAAGGTCACTCCTGTCATCTAGATAGAATCTTCTACACAGATCACTGCAGGAACAGACATGATGGCCCTGTGCAGCCTGAGGGGTGACAAACATTTGGGTGACTCTAACACACACACTCCAGCCTTAAGGCTACAGTCACAGCGGCGATTTAAGGCGGTGCAAATTTTTAGTGCCAGGAAACAGAGTGGCTAGGTGGGTCACCCGCAGCACACTTCTCGGTTACTCGGGTGGCGGTTACCCTCAGCGCACTCCGCTCGGGCGGCGGTTACCCTCTGCTGGAAGTGGAAAAATGCGCGCCGGCAGCCTTTCATTCTACTGAATGGGGCCCATAGCTGCATCTAAATTTTTGGAGTTGCAGCAGGAATCTGGCCGCTACAATTCACTCCGGCCTAACAGATCAATCGCTGGTGTGAATGAAGCTGAACAGATCCATTTATTCCTCAACTCCGCAGGACAGAATCCAATCCAAAACTTAACGGAACCAATACAATAAAGACGGTTCTAGATCAACCATGCAACTGGACGGCCTGAGAAATGCGTTCACTGCCCGCGGGTTTAGCACAAAACAGTCACAGGATCTCCGGCCGGCACAAGGAGTTCCCATAGAGTAGGATGGTGTCACTGATGGGATATCATGGCGTGGACATTCTATACAGAGAACAGGAGGGCGAGACGGAGAGGCATGCTGCAGGTCAAACCATGAACTCCTCAGACAGGTCTCCGGGGGTGAACCCCGCAACTTCTACAGGGGCCTCGGCTAAGCTGACTGAGCTCCACGACCGCCATTGTATGTTCACAAGTCACGGGGAACTTATAACAGCTACAAGTACCAAGACAATCTAAAACAACGCAAACATTGCTCACCGGGAACTAGAACAGGTAACCAAAGAGGGAGGTCACCGCATGAACTCGAATGGTCCGAGGCTGTAATGGCGTCCTCTTCTGCAGCGCGAGGTCCAACCATTGCCAGAATGTGAAGCGAACGTTTTCCATAAGGCATGAAAACAAAGTGATAAACCACATATGGAGACAAAAATAGAGCAAAATACTGAACAGAACAGCACTTTTTTTTTTTGTTTTGGCCCATCTGTCACCTGAACTCCCATAAATCAGCTCTTGGAGGAAGGTGCTGCCTCGCGGGAACTATATATATTACAAAGTTTTATTTTTTTTTTTCTTTTTAATTTATTTCTTTACACAAAACTGAAAGTGATGTTACAGTACATAAGTTATTTACAACTGTGCAGTAATGTGTTTGCAAAATAATTTATCTAGAAGGCAGCAAAGTACATCGGGTAATGTGTATAAAAAACTGTACAGAATTTACCAGATACTTTTTTTTGTCTTTTTTTTTATACATATAGGAGTATTGGCTCTGTAGTGTTTTCAAGTTAAGTTCTCCGAAAAGAGAAAACAAAAATGCCCAAAAGATTAAAAGATGGGGGGAAAAAAAAAAAAAAAAAAAAAAAAAAGGAGGGAACGTGTGACACAAACCGGGGGTCTCCTTTTAAAATGAAAGTCAGGACAGCCATGCTCGCTGCAGCTGGATAGGAGCAGAAGGGGGGGAAGGGGAGGATCCTAAACCAGTATGAACCACATGCAGGATCTGCAGGAAGTATACAGGAGCAGGATGGAACAGAATAATAAAAAAAAGGCCCACCTGCTTTGCAAAGTAGGCCCGGCGTAGGCTGACCTGAGGTAGTCAGCGGCTGAAGGCTTTTTGTTGCCTCATCGCACCATGTCCTGACAAGGTGGAACTCAATAAAGCCAAAAGGAATTAAAAATAAAAAATTAAAAGATCATTTTAAAAGATTACGATTCGCCGGTTCGGCAACTGAAGATTGCACGGTGAGAGGGGGAGGGGGGGGCTTTATTTCTCGATGCAGCTGTGCAAGCCAAAACTGAGCTCTTCTTAGCCAAGGGGGCCGGCCCTTGCCAGTACTGAATGAAGAAAAATAAAATAAAAACCAAAAACCCCGGAAGTCCGCCTTGTCATGCTGGCAAGAGCACAAAGTCATCGTTAACGTCCACCATTGGCACATAGAAAGAGGGAACCTCGTTGACGCAAAGCGATTTGTGTCCGGTCGGATCCAGCTCCTGCATCTTCAACTGCCATTCCATCCTCTGGACAGCGTTCAAGGCGGCTGCTTCGTGTTGTTGTCTCATTAACACGCATGTCTGCGGAAGGCAAGAGACGACCATTAATCCATGCAAACATTGCGTCATGACAGCAAATGCTAAAACCTGAAACACGCACGCGGCTTGCGCTTCACACGATTCACGCTGCATTGGCTGAAATCAAGGTGTGGGCAGCCATGACGGCATCACAAACTTTGAATACAAATAGAACCGAGAGCCGGGTGGAAAACCTCCAGACCAAACAAATTTCCGTTCAGCCCAGAAGCTATCCCTCCATGGCCAACCTAAACCCCAACTAGAGAAACAACGACCCCTGTGCCCGCGCTGCAAGGGTCCCGAGCTCATTGTAGGGAGGAGAAACCGGTTTACCTGATCCTCTGTTCCTGGCAGGCGGCGCTCCTCCAGGATCCAGTGGTGGACTGTCCCTCAGTATCCTCCAATAAAGGGCAAAGCCATGGACCCTGCTTTGGTTTTGAGGACATCAGGACTCTAGACCTCTAGAGTGTGGGGGTGCACAAGCTGTGGGGAACAGTTCTGCGGTGGGGAGGAGTGGAGGGTCATCAGATGGCTATATCCTAACTACATTAATTGCCTGGAGTTGGCCTTAAAAGGGATTTTAAACCTTAAAATTAGGGGGGGGGGGGGGGGGGGGGGGGGGGGGGGGGAAATGGAATCTTGTCTACTCAGCGGCTGCAGGATGGGGAGCAGGACTCAGCGGCTGCAGAATGGGGAGCATGAAACCTGGTCTACTCAGCGGCTGCAGAATGGGGAGCATGAAACCTGGTCTACTCAGCGGCTGCAGAATGGGGAGCATGAAACCTGGTCTACTCAGCGGCTGCAGAATGGGGAGCATGAAACCTGGTCTACTCAGCGGCTGCAGAATGGGGAGCATGAAACCTGGTCTACTCAGCGGCTGCAGAATGGGGAGCATGAAACCTGGTCTACTCAGCGGCTGCAGAATGGGGAGCATGGAATCTGGTCTACTCAGCGGCTGCAGGATGGGGAACATGGAATCTGGTCTACTCAGCGGCTGCAGAATGGGGAACATGAATCCGGTCTACTCAGCGGCTGCAGGATGGGGAACATGGAATCCGGTCTACTCAGCGGCTGCAGGATGGGGAACATGGAATCCGGTCTACTCAGCGGCTGCAGGATGGGGAACATGGAATCCGGTCTACTCAGCGGCTGCAGGATGGGGAACATGGAACCTGGTCTACTCAGCAGCTGCAGGATGGGGAACATGGAATCCGGTCTACTCAGCGGCTGCAGGATGGGGAACATGGAATCCGGTCTACTCAGCAGCTGCAGGATGGGGAACATGGAATCCGGTCTACTCAGCGGCTACAGGATGAGGAACATGGAATCCGGTCTACTCAGCGGCTGCAGGATGGGGAACATGGAATCCGGTCTACTCAGCGGCTGCAGGATGGGGAACATGTAACATGTTCCCAAAGGTGAACTAGTCCTTTAAATAGCACCCCATTCTTGTTTCGAGGAACAAATGCCATCCTCTTTAGATCCAAACAATGCCAGCATTTCAGCAGAACATGGAATCTGGTCTACTCAGCGGCTGCAGAATGGGGAACATGGAATCTGGGCTACAGGATGAGGAACATGGAACCTGGTCTACTCAGCGACTACAGGATGAGGAACATGGAACCTGGTCTACTCAGCAGCTGCAGGATGGGGAACATGGAATCCGGTCTACTCAGCGGCTGCAGGATGGGGAACATGTAACATGTTCCCAAAGGTGAACTAGTCCTTTAAATAGCACCCCATTCTTGTTTCGGGGAACAAATGCCATCCTCTTTAGATCCAAACAATGCCAGCATTTCAGCAGAACGCACAGCAGACTGACCCACGTCTGTTCTGTAGATAATTCCACTCAGGCCACATGAACACTGTACTCTCCATGACGCCATGTTTTTGCATGTGAGTTCCTGTGTCTGGCGTTAATACATTCTATTGGCTAGAAAGTTAAAGTGGTTCTAAAGGCTCGAGGTGTATTCTATGAATGAAGGTAAACAACCTTATGAGTGCAGCCTCCCCCCCCAGCCCCCCAATACTCACCTAAGCCCCCCCTCTCTTGGTCCAGCGATGTGCACTCAAGCCTCAGCTATCCTGGGACTCTCTACTCCTCATTGGCTGAGACAGAATCTGGAGCTATTGGCTCCCACGGTGCTGTCAATCACAGCCAGTGAGAAAAGAGGTGGCGGAGCTAGCCGTGTTTGGCGTGTGAGTCCACCCCGGTGGAGTGTTCCTTTAGGAACTACATAGGTAGAAACGGAATATGACCATAAAATAATCGATGGCTGACCTAATAGGCGGAGCAAACATCTGACGTGTCACGAAGGGTAAGCGAAGATCGTCCACATTTCAGGGGCGATGTATTTAGGCTGTTCACGCATTGCCAGGAAAGGAGGACGGTGGCTGTAGTGTTCATATGCTGCGTGATTTCCACAGATCCCCCACAATACCGGCTGGCTCCATGGCTGCCACTACAGTGGCACAGCTCTACCATCATGACATGCGTTTAGTATTCAGCCTTAGCAAATGCATGGAATGTTTAGATTCTGTAACCCTCACTGGAAGGAAGTGTGGTACCCTCCGGTGGCTCGGGCCCTCCGGTGGCTCGGCCCTCCGGTGGCTCGGCCCTCCGGTGGCTCGGCCCTCCGTGGCTCGGCCCTCCGGTGGCTCGGCCCTCCCTCCGGCTCGGCCCTCCGGTGGCTCGGCCCTCCGGTGGCTCGGCCCTCAGGTGGCTCGGCCCTCCGGTGGCTCGGCCCTCCGGTGGCTCGGCCCTCCGTGGCTCAGTGGCTCTACCCCTCTACCCTCCGGTGGCTCTACCCCTCTACCCTCCGGTGGCTCAGTGGCTGTACCCTCCGGTGGCTCTACCCCTGGCTACCCTCCGGTGGCTCTACCCCTCTACCCTCCGGTGGCTCTAGTGGCTGTACCCTCCGGTGGCTCTAGTGGCTGTACCCTCCGGTGGCTCTAGTGGCTGTACCCTCCGGTGGCTCTACCCCTGTACCCTCCGGTGGCTCTAGTGGCTCTACCCTCCGGTGGCTCAGTACCCTCTACCCTCCGGTGGCTCAGTACCCTCTACCCTCCGGTGGCTCTAGTGGCTGTACCCTCCGGTGGCTCAGTGGCTGTACCCTCCGGTGGCTCAGTGGCTGTACCCTCCGGTGGCTCAGTGGCTGTACCCTCCGGTGGCTCAGTGGCTGTACCCTCCGGTGGCTCAGTGGCTGTACCCTCCGGTGGCTCAGTGGCTGTACCCCCGGTGGCTCAGTGGCTGTACCCTCCGGTGGCTCAGTGGCTGTACCCCCCGGTGGCTCAGTGGCTGTACCCCCCGGTGGCCTCAGTGGCTGTACCCCCCGGTGGCTCAGTGGCTGTACCCCCCGGTGGCTCAGTGGCTGTACCCCCCGTGGCTCAGTGGCTGTACCCCCCGGTGGCTCAGTGGCTGTACCCCCCGGTGGCTCAGTGGCTGTACCCCCCGGTGGCTCAGTGGCTGTACCCCCCGGTGGCTCAGTGGCTGTACCCCCCGGTGGCTCAGTGGCTGTACCCCCCGGTGGCTCAGTGGCTGTACCCCCCGGTGGCTCAGTGGCTGTACCCCCGGTGGCTCAGTGGCTGTACCCCGGTGGCTCAGTGGCTGTACTGCCCTAACTTTCCATACTAAACCCTATTACCAGCTAATAGACACTGATTTTTGGAATCTTTGGGATGGACGGCTGGGCAGCGGCACACATACACATCACTCACCTTCATCCGGTCATATTTGTCGTCCACATCTTGCAGCCAGGACAGGAACTGACGGGCATTAAACCGATCTCTGACGGATTTATTTTCATCTCCCTGCACAGAATAGAAATAAAATGTCAAACCAGATGAGGCTGAAGATTCAGAGTTCCTTCTGGCACACGGGAGGCACACGTTTAACTGTACTGAAGACGCCATTGGGGGAGGGGAAGGGGGGGGATTTCTTACTGCTCGTCTGGAAGCTCAGCAACATCAGCAGATCGAACAGATAACCCGACATGCTCGCGTTTGGCCTTTTAGAATATCTATACAACATCAAACACTTCTACAAGAGAAGCGTGGCTTGAAGCTTGTGGGCCCCATGCAAAAGTTGACCCAGGGGCCCCGCACTGCCACAAGATGCTTCCAACATACCACTTGCACTGACTGCACGGCGGCCATCTGATCTCTCCCCTCTCCCGCTGCATGTGCACACAAGGTGGGGGGGCAGGCAGGCCACACTGAGCTACCGGGTGAAGGCGGTGGACTTGTATTTAAAGAGAAAACTCAGAGGGCTCAGGGGCTCAGGGGCCCAGGGTGGCCCTCGGACTTCCACATACAAGTCTCACTTTCCGCAGGGCGGGGAGGTGAGCAGACGGCAATGCTGGGGGAAAGCGCTCCTTGCGTCACCCTGTGCAAGTGAAAGCAGAAACTCAGGACCGGAGGAAGGCCCCTTCCCGGTCAGCCTGGGCCCTCTGAGATCACAGTGTCACCAATGCAGGATGACGTGGGAAGCCCTTTCTGCAAGCAACGGTGTAAAACCTAACATGACAGGGAGGCCGCATGGGCACCCTGGAGCATGGGCGGGGTCACCACTGCAAGCCCTCAAGCTCCGCCCATGCTTCTACAGCCCAACTTCCATAGATAAAGAGAGAGGCAAGGAATGAAGAGAACATTACTGAAGGATAAGTCATGATTGGACACCAACCACTCCAGCAGGTTTTACTCTTCATTTCTTTTGCTATATGGCACTGCGTTACTTTGACAGTTGTGCAGTCATGCAACGCTGTACATACATGAAATTTATATTTTAATTCCCCACAAACCGAGCTCTCCTTGGTGGTATTTGATCACCTCTGGGGTTTTTTTTGCGCTATAAACAAAAAAGATCGCCAATTTACAAAAATGTTTAATTTTTTTTTTTTATATATAGTTTTTGCTATGAAATGTTCAATAAAAAAAAACTAATTTTTTTCATAAATTTAGGCCAAAATGTATTCTGCCACATTTTTGGTAAAAAAAAAAATCCCAATATGTGTATATTGATTGGTTTGTGCAGAAGTTATAGCGTCTACAAACTACGGATATATACTGGAATTCGTTTTATACTAGCAATGGCGGCGATCAGCGACTTATAGTGGGACTGATATTGCGGCACACAGGGACACTGACATTTTGTGGGAACCAGTGACACCAATACAGTGATCAGTGCTAAGTATATACACCTTCATCGTATTAAAGGACACTGGCTGTGAAGGGGTTAACATCTAGGGGCAATCAAAGGGTTAAATATGAGCCTAGCCAGTGTTGTGCTCTGTGCGGTTTGTACTGATAGATGTGCTGGATTGCATGCTCTGCAGGGAACGACAAACCAGCACATCGCCGGTGACAGGACACAGCTCTGCCTTGTTTATAACTGTATCCCGCCACTCTCCTCGACGATCAGCGGGTGCCGGCGCTCATCCATTGGGCCGGCGCCTGTTGATCGGCTTCAGTGTCAAATCACCTGCAGCAGGAGTGCAAAAATTACATTTATATACGAGATTTTTGCACAGAACGTCCGTCCTGAAGCAGTAAATCTGGCAAGTGGATGAAATGCAGGAAATCGTTTTCTGTGCATCTCGGGACAGCTTCAAGTCTAACCCCACTTTCCAAATACTCTGCCTTCAGCGCCAAGCCCAAAGCCACCCATCGGCACTCACCTGATTTTCCAGAGGCATGTTATACACCTCCGAGTCCAGCAGCATGGTGCAGGCACTAAAAGGCACAGCCTGGTTGGCAATTGTCCTGGCCGCTCTGCAATGAACTCTGAGGTTCTCCTGTTCACAAGACACGATGAGTTTCTCCTACAGTGAGAGATCAGACGAGTCAGATCAGCTCAAGTCAACAAGACCACAAACTTCTCCAGATGTGCCCATGGAGACCATACAGCACGGGTGTCAAACTGGCGGCCCTCCAGCTGTTGCCCAACTACAAGTCCCATGAGGCATTGCAAGATTGTCAGAAGTATGACTCCCGATAGGCTTCTGGTACAAACGCTATTTCATATTACGGTCCGTAGGGATGCAAGGGTGGCCCTCCTGCACTGCCCAATTTTGGGTCTGTCTAGGTCTCAGCAGAAACTGGCATCCTACTTATTTAGTTCGGCCAAACGTGCTATAGCTTCTTGTTTCTGGTCTTCCCCCCCCCCCCCCCAGCCTGGACACCACCCCCCATTGACTTCTCCATCACATCCAACAACGCCACCATCAAACCCGCCCCGCAGGCCAGAGTACTTGGTGTCATTCTGGACTCCAACCTATCCTTCCAGCCTCAAGTCCAATCTTTAACAAACTCATGCAGACTCCACCCCCGCAACATGCAGACTCCACCTCCGCAACATGCAGACTCCACCTCCGCAACATGCAGACTCCACCCCCGCAACATGCAGACTCCACCCCCGCAACATGCAGACTCCACCCCGCAACATGCAGACTCCACCTCCGCAACATGCAGACTCCACCTCCGCAACATGCAGACTCCACCCCGCAACATGCAGACTCCACCTCCCGCAACATGCAGACTCCACCCCCGCAACATGCAGACTCCACCCCCGCAACATGCAGACTCCACCCCGCAACATGCAGACTCCACCCCCGCAACATGCAGACTCCACCTCCGCAACATGCAGACTCCACCCCCGCAACATGCAGACTCCACCCCGCAACATGCAGACTCCACCCCGCAACATGCAGACTCCACCCCGCAACATGCAGACACCTCCGCAACATGCAGACTCCACCCCGCAACATGCAGACTCCACCTCCGCAACATGCAGACTCCACCTCCGCAACATCGCCAAAATCCGCACGTTCCTAACCCCAGAAACCACTAAAAAGCTCATCCACTCCCTCATCATATCACGACTCGACTACTGCAACTCCCTCCTCACTGGCCTGCCTCACCGCTGGCTATCCCCACTTCAGTCCATCCTGAATACGGCTGCCAGACTCATTCACCTTTCCAACCGCCCCATCTCCGCCACCCCTCTCTGCCAATCCCTCCACTGGCTCCACCCCCCTCTGCCAATCCCTCCACTGGCTTCTGATTGCGCAACAAATCAAATTCAAAATCCTAACACTGACACACAAAGCCGTCCACCATACAGCCCCGAACTACATCACCGACCTAATATCCAAGTACCGCCCAACACGCACACTCAGCTCCTCACAAGACCTCCTTCTCTCTAGTTCTCTGGTCTCCCTCCCATGCCCGCCTCCAGGACTTCTCCAGGGTGTCACCCATCCTCTGGAACTCCCTGCCCCAACCCATCAGATTATCACCTACTCTCCTCTCCTTTAGGCGCACCCTGAAAACCCATCTCTTCAGGGAAGCCTACCCTACCCCCTGCTAACTTGCCGACCTCCTCTACTCTTCCTACCACCCCATCCCCCACAGCTATCTCCTCCTGTACCACTATCCCCTCCCTCCTAGATTGTAAGCTCCAAGGATCAGGGCCCTCGATCCCCTCATGTTCTGCATTGTATTGGTATTGTTCTGTCACATGTTCTGTTCCCCTCTGTAATGTACAGCGCTGAGCCAACTATCGGCGCTTTATAAATACTGTATAATAATAATAACTCAAGCTTGGAGAACCCCTTCGGTTGTCTTCCAGGGGGTGAAGACCCGGATGAATGCTATGTTGATCAATGAACAGATGTCTAGCATTCTTCACGATTCTCAGAGATTCCTTAAGGTTTGGGATACGTTATTCCTTGCCATCCCTGCCTCCTACTAGTTATGGCCTCTTGTAGTCGTTGCCTGTGCTAGCCCTGGATCCGTGACTCTTCTAGTTTTCCTTCCCTCCATGTTTTCTGATTCTTTTTTTTTTTTTTTCCCTCTTTTCCCCGATATGATGGATTGCTGCTGCTATTTGGTTCGGCTTTTTGCCATCCCTCCTTGATGTCATTGGACATTCCGCTATTTGACTACTACAAGTCAGCAGGATGTATCCGTTTGTGTTCCTGTCCTGCTCTGCCCCTCGTGGGCGTATCTTGAGCTTGTTGTATTCTTAACACAAAACTTTCTTAATAAAAATATTGAAACAGAAGCATGACTCCCAAAGGCAGAGGCATGATGTAGCAACAGCTGGAGGGCAGCCAGTTTGACACCCCTGATCCATAAACATGGGTGGGGGTTGTAGCCGAATATCGATTAGGAGAGTTATCGACTTATTACAGGTACTACTATACCGCCGTCTATTGTACGCTCCTTGAGGGTTAGGTACATTCACATCAGTCCCTAACCCTCAACGAGCGTACAATCTAAGGTCCCTAACTCACATTTGTACATATCCATACTGGGGCCAATTTAGACAGGAATCAATTATCCTCCCAGCATGCCTTTGGAGTGTGGGAGGAAACCAGAGTACCTGGAGGAAACCAGGCACAGGGAGAACACGCAAACTCCAGGCAGGTGGTGCTGTGGCTGGAATTCGAACTGACAACCCAAGTACTGCCAAGCGGAAGTGCTAACCATTTAGCCACTGACACTTCCCCAAAACACCAGCTGGTCAGTTGGGGGTCAGGACCTCTAAACCCGAAGTGAAGGTCAACCAATTCAGCTCACAATGACCACAACTGACACCAAACTGGTCTCCTGACTCCGGGGAACGTACAAGGCTTCGCACATAAAATGTTCTCCTCACCCTTTCAATGCTGTGTTGCAGACGAAGCTTCCCTCTCACCGCTTCCTGTTGCCGGAATAACTCCTTTAGTGGCTCCGATAATGATGGCGGTGGTGCAATCTACAGAAAGAACAGACATGGATATGGTTTTTCATCTGATGTTCTCTATTGAAGGGATTCACTTTTTTTTTTTCAGGTCTGTGTGTCTTTGTGTCTGAGTCTGACCCATCGCCATCTACAAGGAATTACAATTAGGGATGACCCGAAATTTCAGCCACCGAAACAGTCGGTTTTTTTTTTTTTCACTATAGATCAGAATTAGCTGTCACTTTCCCCCCAGCTAAAAGAAACCGTTTCCTTCAGCTCTGGGGAAAGTGACAGCTAATTCTGTGAGCTATAAAAAGCCGACAATTGCATTTAAAAACCAGCACTGGCCTATAGTGACAGCCAGTGAGGGAGCCTCACTGTATACCCCGCCCCCTCCCCCCGTATACCCCGCCCCCCCCCCCCCCCCCGTATACCCCGCCCCCGTATACCCCCCACCGTATACCCCGCTCCCCTTCACCGTATCCCCCCGTATACCCCGCTCCCCTTCACCATATACCCCGCTCCCCTTCACCATATACCCCGCCCCCTTCACCATATACCCCGCTCCCCTTCACCATATACCCCCGCTCCCCTTCACCATATACCCCGCTCCCCTTCACCATATACCCCGCTCCCCTTCACCATATACCCCGCTCCCCTTCACCATATACCCCGCTCCCCTTCACCATATACCCCGCTCCCCTTCACCATATACCCCGCTCCCCTTCACCATATACCCCGCTCCCCTTCACCATATACCCCGCTCCCCTTCACCATATACCCCGCTCCCCTTCACCATATACCCCGCTCCCCTTCACCATATACCCCGCTCCCCTTCACCATATACCCCGCTCCCCTTCACCATATACCCCGCTCCCCTTCACCATATACCCCGCTCCCCTTCACCATATACCCCGCCCCCTTCACCATATACCCCGCCCCCTTCTACCATATACCCCGCCCCCTTCACCATATACCCCGCCCCCTTCACCATATACTGCCCCCTTCACCATATAGACTGCCCCCTTCACCATATAGACTGCCCCCTTCACCATATAGACTCCCCCCTTCACCATATAGACTGCCCCCTTCACCATATAGACTGCCCCCTTCACCATATAGACTGCCCCCTTCACCATATAGACTGCCCCCTTCACCATATAGACTGCCCCCTGCCCCCTTCACCATATAGACTGCCCCCTTCACCATATAGACTGCCCCACCATATAGACTGCCCCCTTCACCATATAGACTGCCCCCTTCACCATATAGACTGCCCCCTTCACCATATAGACTGCCCCCTTCACCATATAGACTGCCCCCTTCACCATATAGACTGCCCCCTTCACCATATAGACTGCCCCCTTCACCATATAGACTGCCCCCTTCACCATATAGACTGCTCCCTCCTGCCCCCTCCTTGCACACACTGCCCCCTACAAAGAGGACCTGTCTTTTATATGCCTTCACAATCGGGGACTATTGGTCTCCTATAAGATAGCAATAAAATCATAAGTTAAAAAAAATGAATAAAAATATATACGAAAGTAGAAAAAAAATAGATAATTGGCACCTCCCCACCCCCACATACGCAGACAGTTCGGTTTTCAGCCACATGCACTCTCAATTTTCAGTATCGGTTTCGGCACCAGAATTTTAATTTCGGTGCACCAATTACAATGCTAGGTGTATTAACCATCGGTCCTGATAAATTCTACGCCCAATATACCTGATACAGCGCTCCCTAAATTAGAACCGGCTGCATTTGTGCTGCACAGAACTGTACCGGAACACGGTAAAAAAAACTTACCAAAAAAACAAAAATGCACCAAAAATGCACACGACCCGATTTAAATTGAAGAAAGGGGAAAAATGAACTGGAATGAACCAAAAACGTGTCAAAAATGCACATGCAGAAACATCTGGACTGCATTTCTATAGAGTGAACCGACCCTTCATCCAGAAACAAACATATTACAGCTTACCAATTCTTAGATGTGGCGGCTGCATTGGTTTTCTTTTTCAGGCTTCCTTTCCTATATTTTCACCTGCTGATCCAGCCAGTAAGTCTGTTTTTCAATAGAACATGCTCTCCTGCTGATGTAGCAGTTAGAGGGATGAGACAAACCATTTACCACCGACGGGGGGGGGGGGGGGGGGGGGGGGGGGGGGGGGGGGGGGGGGGGGGGGGGGGGGCAGGTTTACAATGATCAGCTTTTATTGATGTAAAACCTTTATCCCAAAAGCAACAAAAACTAACGGATTATAAAGTGTTAGCTGGAGTTTGGCTTAAAATTGGTATTGCATCTAAATCCGCTAGTCCATTTAACACTCCCCTCCCCCCAGACTGACAAAGCTGCTGTCCAAGGGTGCTCCCTGTGCTCCTTCCTCCAGAGTGAGGGCATTCAAATACAGGACACAGTGTAGATCTTTCACAGCACACCACGGATCTTCAAGTTGAGTCCAAACTGTTTTTATTGAAGATCACAAACAAGAGTAACAAGTTGGAGTCACGCAGGACCCACCAGGTGAAAACAGAGGGGAAACGCCTAAAAAAGAAAAGGAATGCAGCCGCCACATCGGATTGGTAAGCTGCAATATTGTATTTCTGGTTTTGGGGTTAGTTCACCTTTACCAATAAACTGCTTATGCAGATGGGACATCTGTGGATGAAATGCTGTGCGGTTCGGACTAAATCGCAATTATGTCCTTCCTATAGGTGGAGCCATTTATGTACCTCCTGAAGCCTGACGGGGAAAACCCCCAGGAAGTGAGGCCTAGTCATTGCTGCCTACCTCCACCATTACAGGAGGGCGCTCTCAAATGCCAAGGTCAGAGCCCAGCCATTCATCACAGAATCGGATTCAAACCCCCTCGTGTGTTGTCTCCTCTGATGCAGTAGCTCCGACCTCAGCATTTGAGAGCGCCCTCCTGTGACGGTGGAGATGAGCGGCAATGACTAGGCTTCACCGGGAGTTTTCCCAGTCAGGCTCCAGAAGGTACAAATGCAGCTTCCACCCAACCCAGTGGTGTATTTAGGTTTTGTGCTGCCCTAGGCAAGAGAGCCTGACACAGACACCCCCCCCCCCCCCGCAGAGAGTCTGAATTTACCAACACGCCTGCCCCCCCACCCCCGAGAGCCTTCCACTACCACCCCCCATACACCAGCCACCAACGCCCCCCACCCCATTCCCCGTGCACAGCTCCAGACATCCCTGGGAACGAGAGTCGGGGCTCTGCATACGTCACGCAGTCTCTCTCGGATCCCACCTGGTTGGTCCCCATGCCACGTGTGACCCTTCTTCTAGGAGGCAGCACTGCCCCCAATGAAAAATGCCGCCCTAGGCAAATGCCTTGTGGTAAATCTGCCCCTGCCTCCACCTATAGCAAGGACATTACCCAACTTCAGTCAGAGCTGCAGAGTTTATCTACAGACCCCCCCCCCCCCCCCCCTTTACCTTCATAGGCAGTTTTTTGTAAAGGTGAAGCTAACCCTTCAAAATGTGTGAAAACACTGAAAAAACAAAAATATGGATGATTGTCAGTAAAATATAGAGCAAGACCCCTAAACCCAGCATCCCGAGGAGGAGCAGAATGGCGCACTCACCACTGGAATGTGAAGCTTGCTCAGAGGTTTGCCATCCAATAAATAGGAGCCGGTGTAAGTCACATATTCAGCATAGCACTGAGGGGCTTGAGGAGTGATGTAACACAAGATTTTCCTCTTCTCTTCAATTTTTTTCCTAATCTGCAAGTATTCAAAGTATGGATTGGACCTGTCGCTGTGATATGGCTCAATTTCGTCCAACTTGATGGCATCAACGATTGCTGCCAAGGTCTGCTGGATCATCTCACGCGTCTGCTGACTGGTGGTGCTGATTATCTGCTGTTGAAGCTGATTGGGCTTCTGCAACTTCCTCTTGCGGGGGTGCTGCGTTTGTGAATCTTCCTCCTCGGTGACTTTACTTTTTCCACGGGTCGACGGTGTGTTTGCTACAGGTTGTTCTTTCTCCGGGGTGGAAGTGTTCTGCTTATTCTGATTGGCAAGCATCTGAGCCCTGTTTCGAGTCATCCGTAGAGGTATCTCTTCTACTTTGGGAGGTTTTGGAATTTCAACTATTATTTTTGGCATTTGCTCTGGAACTTCTACTGGGGGGATAACTGGAGGGGCTTCAACTTGTATGACGGGTTCACTGGGAACACTTTCCTCTGGTGTACTTTCAGTTCCTTGCACATCAGCCTCAACGTCCTTTGGCAACTCCGGAGTACATGTGTCCGCAGAGGAACTTAGGCTCGATTGCACCTTACTCTCGACTTCTTGAAGAGTTTCCAGTTGTACATACGGTATTGCAAAACTTGTTGGTTCAAACACTGGTTTTGTATCATGGGATAATTGTTCAGTGTCTATTGTAGGTTCCACATCGTGGTCATCGTTCTGCTCCTCAACATCGTGTACTGGTTCATCCATTTCCACAGCGCTTGTTTCTTTAGGAGTCACTGGCTCTGGGAGATCCAATTCATTGTGAGGCATTTCCATGTTGTCATCCTCATTGCACACATCAAGGGGAACATCAGGACTGCTTGCAAGGATACTTGGCTGTTCACAAATCTCATCATTTTCTTCTTTGACAGGAAGTGGAAGGTCAGGAAGAGAAAACGGTCCAAGATCCAGATCCTCCACAGCTGAAGAAAATGGGTCTGGCCATGGTTCCGGATCGTGAGCAGGTGGCTGAACATCACTGGGCTCCACATAACTTTCTTTAACCGAGGCCAATGCATCTTCTAGAGGTTCTGTGTTGAGTTGCGACTCAGAAGCCAATGCCGGATGATCATCTGATAGACCATCACAGTTATTTAAAAAGTTGGTAAGAGGAGTTGGAGATGCATATGGTTCCTGATCATCTGGCTGAGGCATATCCTCTTCCGCATCCTCCCTATCCTCTTTCAGTTCATCTGGGGCTGGTTCAGACAAGGGGAAGGAAATGGGAGAAACTGGATAAGGCGAGTCTGAAGAAATAAATGGAACTGAAGCAGTAATAGATTTGTCAGGTGAACAAAAGGTCTTCGGTGACTCTGTGAATCTCGGAGGAGATTTTAAGAGCTCAGGTGCCATTGACCAGTTCCCAGGTTGATCGGGGGTGTTACTCATTAAACTTGGAGGGATAACAGAGTCTGTATTTCTATTCGTCGGACTGACCCATTCTAAATTCTGCTCAGAAATTGTTGAGCTGAATGTATTTTCCTCAACAGGTGGAAGGAAATCAGATTCTGTAGGTGGAGGTAAAAAAGCAGGTTCAGGGGGTAAAAAAGAAGGTTCTGTATGCGGCGTATGAAATCCAGATTCAGGGGGCAAATAAGCAGTCTCCGTGGTGGGAAAACTAGATCCTGTATGAAGAACATAACCTTGTTCTTGGGGCATAAAGGATGGCTCTGAAGGCAAATATTCTGGCTCCGGGGTTAGAAAGTCTGTCTGTTGAGGAATGTAGGCAGGTTCTTGGTGTAGGTAAGAAGATTCCTCCTCTGGCATAAAGTCCGGTGCAGCTGAAAAGCTATTTTCATTTGTTATAAAGTTACTATCAGTCTGTAAATAGGCCGGCTCCTGCTGCAGAAAATTAGACTCGGGTGGTGAAAAGCTTGGTTCTTGGGATAGAATAGATTCTGTAGCTTGTTGTGCTTCAGCAGAGTCACATGGCAGGCCAAGATCGGGAGGAATCTCACTCTCTGTAGAAGGCTCAAGCAAGTCATCTCTTTCCAATTGTGGTGATTTTGCTTGAACAGCTAAATAGCCATGATCAGGTGATGGAGCAATACTGGCCACGGCAGCAGGTGTACAGGAAGTATCATCAACCCTCGGAGATGCTGCCCGGTAGTCTGGTGAAAAGTAACCTGGAGACCCGCATGTGAATTTCTCTTCAGGGACCTGTGGTTGAATCTTATCGTCCATCATCTGGATTGGTGAACTGAAGCTAGAAGCTGCTGGCACACTCTGCTGTCTGTAAAATTTCATTTCTGAAGAAGGAAACTCTTCTTCAGGAACTCTTCTGACATCAACTGAGACAGAGCGGCTACGATTCACAGAACAAGGGAGCCTAGTGGGTGTCTGACTTGGGTTTTCAGGTATTCCACTAGATGTTGCTGAATACCGGTCAAAGAATGTAGGTGAGCAGGCATTCATAGACATTGCAGACACCGGCAAGGAGTGCTGTGTATCTGAACAGTCAAACATCAAATCTGGATAGTCTTCAGTGCTGCAAGATGGGGTCCTTGGGGTCTGCATTACTTCTTCGTAACTTGGGCAGGAGATCACAGATGTAAGAGTGGGGACTCCGGTTGGCCTACTTTGATCAGGTCTTGGAGAAGCTGTGAGCACTTCTTTAATTTGGGGACCATTGAGCCAATCTTTAGAATCATTCCCAGTAATGGCTGGGACTTTGTTTTCAGGTGGTACTGCGTTTGATGACAAATCTTTAGACTTCTTATCTTTTTGGAGGGAATCTGTTACCAAAGGTTTCTTGGAAGTCAAGTCCAAACTTTTCTTACGCTGCTCTTCTTTTAATTTTTCTTTTAGCTTTGGATCCCCAGACCGGTGTCTCATCTTTTCCATTTGCTTCATTCTCTCTTTGTGCTTTTTATGCTTTTCTTCAATTTCGAGATCTTTTTGGCTCAGCATCCTTTCAAAACTGGTCATCATCAGATCTCCATCGCCGAGAAGTTTTTCTCGAGGCCGGTTGTCTCTCTTGTTGGCATCTTTATTAAGTGTGATTTTCTCATTTCCATTCAGGATCTTAACAGTCTCTTTCTCAGAATTTTCCTTTGTTCTATCTTTGATTTTATTTTCACTAAATCTTCCCACCTCATCTTTAGATTTTTCTTTGGAGGTTAATGGAGATTCCTTATCTCTACCCATCGGTTTCTGCTCTTCCCTGTGATGCTTAAAGAAGGCTTCCAAATGTTTGTCTCTGTGTTTGTCGTCTTTGCTTTTGTCACGATGTTTATCTTTCTTTTTCTTTTCTTTCACAACAGAAGAGTATGCTTTGTCCTTTTCAGATTTTTTTTAAGGAGTCTCTTTCAGAATCATGTTTCTCTCTTTTCAGAACCAAACACATAGTCCATGCTTCTATCCAATTCCTCTTCGGTTTCAGTCTTGACAGAAAACGAAGAGAAAGTGTCTCCATCTGCTGTTGGAGTCTCCTTATCGTACTGCATGGACTCTCTCCTGCTGTAGGTGTCCCTCATATCATCCAGTTTTTCAGCCTTCTTATCAGACTTGTCTTTTCGTGCTTTATCCTTGTCATGGCTTTTCTTTGAAGAGGAGCTAGAATGCCTATTTCTTTCCTTTTCCTTTAATTTTTCTGCTAAACCAGGTAAGGAATCTTTAAATTTGTCCTCTACTGGATCTATAGTGGTCACCACGGCACCTTCCAACATGTTTCCAAGGCCAGCATCCTGGCCCCGATCTGTAAAACTGTCCGAAGATATTTCACTGATTTTGTCGTTGGAATCATCCTTGTAGTCGTTGAGGGCCTCCTCTTCCAATTTTTCCAGAAGACTCTTCTCAGCATCACCTTTAGAGGACTTTCGATCTTTAAAGTGATCTTTATCAGATTTCTCTTTGTGTTTGGTTTTGATTTTCTCCTCACTCTGGTGTTTCTTTTCACTTTTGTCACCTGGTACCTTCTGTTTAGACTTCTTGTCTTGGTTAGAATCTACTGACGCTCGGTCTTTGCGGTATTTGTCAAGGGACTCCTTATCCTTTTTCTCTTTGTGTTTTTCGGTGTTCTTTTCCTTCTTCTCCTTCCCCGATTCTGACTGACCTTTTTCCTTTTTCTTCTCTTTTGGTTCCCGATCTTTTTGCTTTTCCCCCAAATGTTTTTCATTGGAATTCCTTCTGTGTTTGTCAGACTGGGAAGGCTCTTTGTCTTGTAAAGGATTCTCCCGCTCATGATAACTGTCCATTCTGTGCAGATCATTGCCATAGGCCTCTGAGACTTTGAACCCTGGCATAAATAGATTATCCTCCTCTTCACTTTCATCTGTAAATATGTCTGCAATGTTATACCAGTTTTTACCTCTGGACTTCTTGTCATCTCTCTTGTCCCCAAAATCCTTTTCTTTTTTCTCAGTTTTCTGCTCTGAGGAGGCTTTTTTATCTTTGTACTTTTCCTCTTTCTTCTTTTGAGACCCTTTCTCGGTTTCTTTTTCTTTCTGACTTCGATCAGGTTTTTCAGGCTTTTCCCTCTCCGAATCTTTTGATTTTTCTCGATGTTTCTCAGATTTCGATTTTTCCTTTTTCTCCACGTCCCTCCTTTCCTTGCCAGAGTGATGCCTCTCTCGTGTCTCAGAATTCTTGGTAACAAGCTCTTGTTCTGATTTTTCTTTAAAGAAGGTCTCCGTTCCATAGTCATTCAGGTCTTCTTTATACTGTTCCTCCTGTTTAGTTTTGGAATCCCTCCGTTCTTTGCTTCCCAAAGAATCCCTCCTTGTGGAATCTCCGTCTTTTTCTTTGCGTGGTTTAGTGGTGTCGAGAGAGTCCTTCCTCTTCTTCTCGCGTTCACCCGTGTATAAGGTGGCACCTTTGTGTGCATCTGCTTGATCTTTCTTTTTGTCAGAAGTTTTGTCAGAAGAGTCTCGATCCTTTCTTTTTACAACAGTCTCTTTCTCGGGTTGTCTTTCTCCATATTCTCTCCTGTCTTTGTTTTTGGAGTCTTTTTCCTTGACTTCCTCCTTGACAGATTCTACAATCAGCTTGGGGATGGCATCGTTCTTGCTTTCTCTGAAGTCCGTAAAGGAGGAGTCCCAGCTATCCTCAGCTTTGAAGTCAAAGGAAGAATCTGAGGACATCTCAGAAATCCATAATCCCTGATCATCTGATGTGTTGTACTTTGTTTCATCTTCTAAAAATTTGGTTTTGCTGTTTAATTCTTCGAATGGTGCTTCATCTTTGTGAGACTTTTCCTTCTTGACCCGATCTTCTTTGAAACTTTTGTCTTTTTCGGGTTTGGGCGTTTTCTCCTCTTTTAGCTCGTTTTTCTTTTCAGATTTGGATGACTTTTCTTTCGTTTTCTTCTTCTTTTCTTCTTTGTGGACTTTTTGCTTTTCTTCTTTGGGGGATTTTTCTTTGACAGTTTTTTCTGTTTTTCCAGAGCGGTCTCTGTCCTCTTTAAAAAGTTTACTGCTGTCCTTGCCATCTTTAACCTTTTTTGATGACTTCTCTTCTTTGGTAACCTTACTACTCTCCTCTCGGTAGCCCCAGTCTTCTTTCTCAGATTTCACTTTTGGAAGTTTCTCCTCCTTCCTGAGGTGCTCGTTTTCATGTTTTAATACTTTTAATTTTTCTGGAACGTCGACTTCTAAATTTAATGGCTTTTCCGATTTTTGTTTAGAGTCCTCATACTCGATAGAAAAGCTTTTAAGGATTTTAACTTCTTGTCCAGCCTGCACCTGAACTTTTTCTTTATTTTTTGTGTTTAGTTTTATGTTTTTTCACTACTTTGCCTTCTTTATCTAGTTTTGGAATTGCCCCGTCATTGTGAAGATGAAAAGAGTTCTTTTCGTATATGCTGTTATGCATATTACTTTTCTTTTTGTGCTCGTGCTTCTTTTTAACTTGTTGTTTCACAGACTCCACGCTGGAATCCTCCGAAGAGTAATCATAGTCACTAGTCAACCGTGTCCTTGTGGAGTCCGATAATGAGCTAACATCTGACCAGTGAGGGGAAGAAACCGTTTTCCAATTGTCCGTTCTCCAGTGCTTGGAGTGCTGGTCAGGGATATTAGCATTGTGCTTCTGTGATGCTAACTCCCTTGAGACGATGCTGAAGATGCTGAAAGAGAGCTAAACAAAGAAGTCTCCTTCAATGCTAAGGCAGAGTCTTTTACACAGTTTGAGTTTTCTAAGGAAAGCAGATCATTCTCTACATCACTCTCCAAGTTTTCACTTTCAGTTTCAGAGGAACAAAATAGGTTTTTCTTCTCAAACTTGACCTCCTTTGTTTTTGCATCTTTCTTCCGCTTCTTCTTGACTTTGCTTTTCTCTTTATGCTTTGCTACAGGCTGCTCCCTGGTTTTATTGCTCGGTACAACGGGATGAGCCGACAGGCGGAGCTTTTCAGGGGCCTCTATGGTGATGGAATGGTCGTCCTCGTCTGAAGTATCTGACAGGATACGGCGAGCAGCTTTCTTTGGCGCAGTTGTATTTTTAGAATACGTTTTTACTTCCATTTTAGGAATAGAAATATAACTGTTCGCTTTAGTCTCTTTCCGAAAGTCTTTTTTCAGCAAATGCTTGTCATCAAACTGGAGGCACGCGATCTTCTTCGTCATCCTCGTCAAACTCGTACTCGTCTTTCACTGGCGTACTTTTTGGCGGATCCTGATGTTTGCCTTTGTGTTTAGGGCCCTTCTCAAACTCCGAGTCCGTGTTATTTCCGTCCACCGAGCTGGAAGGTGCAAAAGAAGGGGCATCCTCCTCTTCTGAACTTTCTACAAAGCAAAAAAACAACCTTGTGAATACAGAGTACACCAAACTAACAAAACTGGTGAGCTGGAACACGCACGCACGCACACACACACACACACACACACGTACACACACACACACCACACACGTACACACACACGTACACACACGTACGTACACACACGCACACACGCACACACACACACACGTACACACACGTACACACACGTACACACACGCACACACACACACACGCTGGGGAAGCTCTTAGCAAAAGGAGGCTTTAAAAAAAAAATATTTGAGAAGCTGCCCACAAACAAGTCACGCTTGATCGCTTAGAAAATAGCGGTCGACAAATTGCTAAATACTGTGTTGAAATACATCTGTTAACTGCCCATTAAATGCAACCTACCCATTAATTTTGTAATTCCAGTTCATCCAATTTATCACTTCTACATTGCACAGCCAGGCAATGCCCTTCATTTCTGGTTCAGCAACGCAGAGTCCTGCCATGCCTCCATCTGCAGCCCGCTTACTGGACAATAAAATCACCACCTCTGTCCAGAAAACGGTGATGAATCCAGAAGACGACCGATCTTCCCAACTTATACACAGATGTGTAGTTCACAATACAGAATGTCCAACAGACAATTCCTTCAACATCTGTTTTACCATAAAGGATAAGCTCACCTTTTGGAACATGAAACCTGCTTTAGTAACTGCAGCCTCTCCCCCCTCCCTGTGACAGTGAGGGGGGGGGTTCTCCCTGAGCCCGCCGTCACCTTAAAAAAAAAAAAATGCGATTGTGTGGGGCCTTCCAGGCCGATGGCTTGTAGTTCTCAATTTACTAAGGGGGTGCTGGTGAGCGCTCTCGTAGTCCATTGAGGTTCCTGGACTGCCTGCCCACATCAGGTGTGTGGGCAGACAATGCACTGACAGTCTGCAAGAGCCTGACATTGCACCCACATTCTGATCGCGGGTAAAATCAGTTACAGGCTCCCAAGAAAAAAAAAAAATGCACATTTTTTTAAATGCAAGAAATGTGCATTTATTATTTATTTATTTTTTAAGTGAACTTATCCTTTAACTCCTTGCTCCGTTAAAGTTAACTTTTTTTAAAATTAAAAACAAACCTGATATACTTACCTGCTCCGATTGGCCGCTTACCTCCTCTTCTGGGATCCCCTGCTGGCACTGTCCTCGCCTCTGAGTGTGCCCCCATTACAACCGGCTTGCTCTGGGGGCACACGTGCAAGAGTGCTCTCAAAACCAGACTGTATACACCCATAAACAAAGTGAGGCTCGACCCCAACCCCCTCACAGGATTTGACTGATAGCAGGAGCCCTCCCGCTGCCCTCAGTGAAGCCTGTGAATACAGGGAGGGCAGAGGACATGTCGCCGGGCTCAGCGCTGGATCATTAGAGGGCTCAGGTAAATGTTTAGGGATGGGGGTGGGGTGAATAGCTAATGGAAGGCTTTTTAACTTAAAGTGATTCTAATGGCTCAAGGTTTTTTACTTTCTTGTATTTTATGCATGAAGGAAAAAAAAAAAAAAAAAAAAAAAAAAAAAAAAAAAAAAAAAACAAACTGTGTTTAGCAGACCCCATAACACTTACCTGAGCCCCATCGCGATCCAGCGATGTGCACAAGAACCCAGTCCTCTGGGGGCTCTCACCGACTGGTTGAGGAAGCAGCAGGAGTCCAAGGATCCCGCTACTGTCAATCACAGCAAGTGAGCCAATAAAGAGGGGGAGGGGACAGGGCTGAGCCACAGCTGTGTGTGAATAGACATGGAAGCGCAGCTGCTTTGGTGCCCCCATAGCAAGTTGCTTGCTGTGGAGGCACCTGACAAGAGGGAGGGGCCAGGGGTGTCGGCGGGGGAGGGGACCCGAGAAAGGGAGGGGCCAGGGGTGTCGGCGGGGGAGGGGACCCGAGAAAGGGAGGGGCCAGGGGTGTCAGGGAAGGGGGGGGGAACCGAGAAAGGAAGGGGCCAGGGGTGTCGGGAGGGGGGAACCCGAGAAAGGAAGGGGCCAGGGGTGTCGGCAAGGGGCCCAAAGAAAGGAAGGGGCCAGGGGTGTCGGCAAGGGGCCCAAAGAAAGGAAGGGGCCAGGGGTGTCGGCAAGGGGGCCCAAAGAAAGGAAGGGGCCAGGGGTGTCGGCAAGGGGGCCCAAAGAAAGGAAGGGGCCAGGGGTGTCGGCAAGGGGGCCCAAAGAAAGGAAGGGGCCAGGGGTGTCGGCAAGGGGGCCCAAAGAAAGGAAGGGGCCAGGGGTGTCGGCAAGGGGGCCCAAAGAAAGGAAGGGGCCAGGGGTGTCGGCAAGGGGCCCAAAAAAAGGGAGGGGCCAGGGGTGTCGGCAAGGGGCCCAAAAAAAGGGAGGGGCCAGGGGTGTCCGCAGGGGACCCGAGAAAGGGAGGGGCCAGGCTGCTCTGTGCAAAACCACTGTAGAGAGAGGGTGACTTTTTTTCTTTAAAAAACAAGACTTTAGTATCACTTTAATACACAAAATGAATTAAAGAAAAAAAAAAAAAAAAAAGGTGCGTTTAGAACTACTTTAATCTAGTTAGCCAGAGAAAACAGGATGCCAGGCAATAATCACTACTTGGCACAAGGAGAGGACAGACATGTTGTTCCACCAGGGAAAGAGACCATGTCCAGTTATCCTACGAAAATAATGGTAAAATGTCCCACCATTTAAAATGTTTTTGCCAAATATATCTCTCTCTATATATCTATCTCAAGAAAGCTAGAAATGCTCCCCCCGGGACTTGATATGGCAAAAACCACAATGAGTCTACACAAAATATAAAACAATGTTTATTACAAAAGATTAACACAATAAAAGGAATCAAAAGATTTGATATTTAGTAATTGTAGTACAATGTGTGTACCTATAGGACTCCTCGTACCACAAGTTACTATATACTGAATCTTGATTCGTTTTCTTGTGTCAATCTTTTGTAATAAACATTACGTTTTATACTTTGTGTAGATTCTCATTGTGGTTTTTGCCATATAAAGTCCCGGGGGAACATTTGTAGCTTTTCTTGGTCTTCCCAGCTATAGCAAATCTTTCAGAATTGCAGGGATTTCTCTAAACCTCGGAGTTCATCCACATTCCTTCAAAGATATGTTTAAGCAGCAAAATCCCCAAACGCCATCCCACTTACCAGTTGAGCTCTCTTCGCTGGAGGTGTAGGTACCCTTTCCCAGGAGAAGGTTGACCATGGTCGGAGAGTTTGCAACTTTTAAAGGGGTTTCTCCCTTCCGATTACTTTGATGAGGATTTCCTCCATACCGCAACAGGAGTTTCACGACCTGCAATGTAAGCACAGCGATGAGACCACACGCCTGAGACGCCTTTTTTCCAGTTACTTGGATGGCAACGGTTCAATCTCCCAAACTTTGATGAAAGACCTCCATGAAACAGGATTTAAACCCCTCGCCTACCGGGCACTGTCACCCCCTTCCAGCTCAGGCCAATATCCAGCTTTCAGCGCTGTCGCACTTTGAATGACAATTTCGCAGTTATGCTATACTGTAGCCATATGAAACTTTTTTTTTTTTTTTTTACTACACACACAAATAGAGCTCTTTTGGTGGTATTTAATCACCGCTTGGGTTTTTTTTTTTTTTTTTTTTAGCAAAAAAAAAAAAAAAAAAAAAGGTTTACATTCGTCTCAATACTGCTGAAGACGGTCTGTACAGTTACACGTGGAATGTTGTGTTCTCGGAAAATATTTACATGGCTTCTAAAGTTCACAGCAACCAGCAAAATCTGAACCGTCTCGAATGGCAACAGCGGCATAATGGAATAATTTCCCCATACAGCTGAGAGTACACAGCGGAGGCGCCCTTTAAGGAGGAACATTCCTCTTACAGTCACACATTTCTGAACATCTGTATGGAAAAATAGTATATATACTATCATCTCTATCTAAAGGCATTAAACGAAGACAATCCAGATCAAGGTGTTTAGAATCTCTAGGCAGCTAAGGGCTGGGCGGCACAAATTTGAGCAACTTGGAGGATGCATATTTGCAAACCCCAGAATCAAATGTTAATGCAGTTTTTTTTTTAATACACAAGTACTTGCCTTGAAGTGACCGTTGTTGGACGCATCATGCAGGGGGGTGTCATCGTCCAAGCCCTTGGTGTTGACCTCTGCTCCGGCAGCCAGGAGCTGTTTCGCCACATCATAGTAACCTCTATTACATGCCTCATGCAAGGCCGTCCAACCTGCGAACATTAAAAGCAGCGCTGATCCATCTAAGCAACAGTTACAGAAACCATTGAACACATTTGTGACAAAAAAAAAGGCATACTCCCCTAGGTGGAGGCTGCATCTGTCCCCCGTGGCCTCCAAGACCAAGAACTGAGCGATCGAACGCCACTGATCATTCAGTTTTCGGTCTTCAGAGCTCGTGACCATCAGCTACCAGCTCTCCTCTCCTGGGGGGTGAAAGGGGTGGGAGTGCCAGGCTTTCCGTGGCACGCCGAGAGGCTGAGCCAACTGCCATCTAGGATCTGGATCCTTGCAGAGCCTGGACCAGCTCTGACACGCTGACAGCAGTCTTTAGCCCACCGACGGCTGAAAACTGATCACAGGAGTGCACAACCAGGTCCACTCCAGTGATCCAGAGAAGTACAGCCAAAACAGCCATCGCCATACTTCATCTTTAACTACGCCCAACTACTGCAAACTTACTAAATACAGATTTTCAAAAATCAAATGAACCAGCAGCAGGTTCTCGGAGTACAAAGTGTTCCGTAAAGAAGGTCGCGGCCTCCGTCACACTTCAACTAGGCAGAAGCCATGAGAGGGGCAACATACAGGAAGAAAGCAAAGCAAGAATGCAAATACTTCTCAGCAAAATATCTTCGTCTCTACGAGGAACAAAGACCGACACCGACACCGAACCAGCATCAGTTTACAGAGATGTTCCAGGAGACCCGCCCAACTGTTCCCAAAACCTTTCCCCCCCAACACATCAGGTCACCTTCCATACACATGCAAACCATCCTTCATATACCGGCTGTATACTAATGGAAAGGGATCCAGGAATCGTTTTTTAGTGCCACCCATCCGTCGGGGTCACCAGGAAACCCTTCCAGGCCCTAAAAACTTTCCTAGAAAGGCCGGCTCATTTATTACCCCAAACAATCTTCCAGTTTATTTTGGGCATCTCTGTCCTGCTACTGACATACCTAAACAACTACTCCACCCAACATTCGTCTCTGTCCTGCTACTGACATACCTAAAACAACTACTCCACCCAACATTCGTCTCTGTCCTGCTACTGACATACCTAAACAACTACTCCACCCAACATTCGTCTCTGTCCTGCTACTGACATACCTAAACAACTACTCCACCCAACATTCGTCTCTGTCCTGCTACTGACATACCTAAACAACTACTCCACCCAACATTCGTCTCTGTCCTGCTACTGACATACCTAAACAACTACTCCACCCAACATTCGTCTCTGTCCTGCTACTGACATACCTAAACAACTACTCCACCCAACATTCGTCTCTGTCCTGCTACTGACATACCTAAACAACTACTCCACCCGACATTCGTCTCTGTCCTGCTACTGACATACCTAAACAACTACTCCACCCAACATTCGTCTCTGTCCTGCTACTGACATACCTAAACAACTACTCCACCCAACATTTGTGCGTGTAACGGAAGCGCACGAAAATGATATATATATAGCCTGTAAAGTGCAGCCATGTGGGCGGAGCCCCAAACAGCTTTAATTAAAATATATATACAGTCATGGCCGAAATTGTTGGCACCCTTGATATTTTTCCTGAAAATCAAGTATTTCACACAAAAAAGGTATTGCATTAACACATGTTTTGCTATACACATGTTTATTCCCTTTGTATGTATTGGAACAAATATAAAACAGAGGCAGAAAAGCAAATATGACATAATGTCACACAAAACCCCAAAAATGGGCTGGACAAAAGTATTGGCACCCTTAACTTAATATTTGGTTGCACACCCTTTGGAAAACATAACTGAAATCAGTCGCTTCCTATAACCATCAATAAGCTTCTGACACCTCTCACCCGGAATTTTGGACCACTCTTCCTTTGCAAACAGCTCCAGGTCTCTCTTATTGGAAGGACACCTTTTCCCAACAGCAATTTTAAGATCTCTCCACAGGTGTTCAATGGGATTTAGATCTGGGCTCATTGCTGGCCACTTCAGAACTCTCCAGCGCTTCTTTGCCATCCATTTCTGAGTGCTTTTTGACGTATGTTTGGGGTCATTGTCCTGCTGGAAGACCCAGGATCTTGGACGCAAACCCAGCTTTCTGACACTGGGCCCTACAGTGCGACCCAAAATCCTTTGGTAATCCTCAGATTTCATGATGCCTTGCACACAGTCAAGGCACCCAGTGCCAGAGGCAGCAAAACAACCCCAAAACATCATTGAACCTCCACCATATTTTTACCGTAGGTACTGTGTTTTGTTCTTTGTAGGCCTCATTCCGTTTTCGGTAAACAGTAGAATGATGTGCTTTACCGAAAAGCTCTATCTTGGTCTCATCTGTCCACAAGACGTTTTCCCAGAAGGCTTTTGGCTTACTCAAGTACATTTTGGCAAACTGTAGTCTTGCTTTTTTATGTCTCTGTGTCAGCAGTGGGGTCCTCCTGGGTCTCCTGCCATAGCGTTTCATTTCATTTAAATGTCGACGGATAGTTCGCGCTGACACTGATGCTCCCTGAGCCTGCAGGACAGCTTGAATGTCTTTGGAACATGTTTGGGGCTGCTTATCCACCATCCGGACTATTCTGCGTTGCAATCTTTCATCAATTTTCCTCATCCGTCCACGACCAGGGAGATTAGCTACAGTGCCATGGGTTGCAAACTTCTTGATAATGTTGCGCACTGTGGACAAAGGCAAATCTAGTTCTCTGGAGATGGACTTGTAACCTTGAGATTGTTGATATTTTGCCACAATTTTGGTTCTCAGGTCCTCAGACAGTTCTCGTCTCCTCTTTCTGTTGTCCATGCTTAGTGTGGCACAGACAGACACACAATGCAAAGGTTAAGTGAACGTCTCTCCTTTTTATCTGCTTTCAGGTGTGATTTCTATATTGCCCACACCTGTTACTTGCCCCAGGTGAGTTTACAGGAGCATCACATGCTTGTAACATTCTTATTTATCCGCAGTTGTGAAAGGGTGCCAATACTTTTGTCCAGCCCATTTTTGGAGGTTTGTGTGACATTATGTCGAATTTGCTTTCTTTCCTCCCTTTTTTTGTTTTGTCCCAATACACACAAAGGGAATAAACATGTGTATAGCAAAATATGTGTTAATGCAATACGTTTCGTGAGAAATACATGATTTCCTGGAGAAATATCAAGGGTGCCAATTTCGGCCATGACTGTATATATATATTTTTTTTTGACCAAAGCTTGGCTGAAGGGATGACTCAATAGATCTCAGCAAGGTAGCTGCTCTCCTACACATGAAACTCCGACCCAGAATCAGGTCATCCATGAATGATTTAGCACCGGGTTCCCAAAAGGACAGAGGCTGCCCCCATCCCAGCAAAGGGGTGGCAGAGCCGAGTATCCCAGACCAACCTGGCCTCTGTGGCAGTATGCGGTTTTTGAATTGTGAGCGGGTGTGGGGAGAGGATGCCCCACTCGCTGTCACAATGAGGGATCGGGGGTGCGGCAGGTGCTCTTTGGCAACACATTACACCCTAAATACAGGTGTAACAAGTAACCAGCGAGGACCCTCCCACTCCATCCCTCCCACGCCATCCCCCCACGCCACCCCTCCCACGCCACCCCTCCCACGCCACCCCTCCCACGCCATCCCCCCCACGCCATCCCCCCCACGCCACCCCTCCCACGCCATCCCCCCCACGCCACCCCTCCCACGCCATCCCTCCCATTTTTATCATTTAATAGAAGTGAGATGCAATTCGTTACCTGCAAAATCTTTAACGTTGACATCTGCTCCCTCGTTAATCAGTTCCTTGATTCGCCGCGCATCGCCTCTAATGGCTGCCCGATGAAGTCGGGTCTCCCCTCGCTCATTTCGCTTGTTAACTTTGTCTTTGGTTTTGGAGGCGGAGTTAGGAGTCCCCTTCTGGCCAACCGCAGATTGAGAAGGATGCTTTGGTGTCGTGTCAACTAGAAAACAAAAGGTAGGATGAGTATGAGAATGTATGAGGGGCTTCAGGTACTTTAGGGGGGTGACAAACATGGAGGCTGCCAGTGCCGCCCCTTCCTTCCAGGATTAGAGGACTTCCTGAGAGTTCAATATTTTGAGTCACTGACCTGGAAAAAGTATGGAAAGTATTCTCTCTTCACTCTGATGTACCCGATGATCAGTACATTTTCTGGGTCAGTGTCTGAAAATGAGCCAGAGAGAGCCAGGCAATTGGCATTTCGGGGGGTGAGAGTTTTTCAGAATGTCTCTTTTTGCCTCAGTTTCCTACAAGGATGCGACAAAGGAAACCTGCAAATCCAACCTTTACAAAGTCCTTTAGGGCTGATTCATACCATAGAAATGCAGTCTGGTGGAGTTTCCGCATTCACATTTTTGATGCGTTCTAGAGGTGCCCCCCCCCCCTTTTTTGGGTCATTAGGGGTCACGTGCATTCCTGATGCGATTTACCATGTTCCAGTGCAGCTCTGCTGAGGAAAAATGCAGCGTGATCTACTTTTCTATGTCTGGAATCACTGATGTGAACAATGCCATTGACAGCCATGTATCCTATTCTCGGTGCGTTTTAGATGCAGAAAAATATGTGAATCAGCCCTAAGAGTAATATGGAAAGACTGACTTAGTGCTCTCCGCAGAGAGAGAGAACAAGCCGGGCTCCGGCACACCGGCCTTCTTCCAGAAGATTGTTCTACTGGAAACGACAACAAACCTCCCAATGGGTAGTCTGGCCCCGCCCCTTTCTTCATTTGCTAGCCATGTCACCAATCAGTGATGAGCCAGGAGTGAGGAGCGGGAGGCCACTAGACGTGGGAGAAACGCACAACATTCTATATAGGGATCCCGGGGTGCAAAATTTACAAACTGCTTCAGCCTCGGTTCACACTGAACTGCGCTGTATTCCTGTGCGATTCTCATGCGGTTCAACGCAGTGGAATCTGAGCCCATGCATTGTGAATGGGAACGCATTACGGCAAAGCCATGCATGCACCAGATTCGGAACCGCACTGCAGCTGGAGCGCACAGCTGTACTGTAGCATGCGATCCAGTGCAGGCAAACACTACATGTGTGACCTGCATTTTGGGTGTCGTTAACATTGCACTGACAGCTGCTGCAAATCACAAGTGGAGTGCGAATGTGGTGCAGGAAATGCGCACGGATCACGGGTTTCTAGCGTGAACTGGGCGCTTACAGATGGGATCGGATCTAAGAAGAAAAAAAAACAAAACATTTTTTCAAAACAAAAGTTTCTGTTTGCATATCTAAGTCAGTCAGGAGGTTTCAGCAAACCAACCAATAATTGCCAGTCATTTCTAGCGCACAACCTGTAACTTCCCTTTTGGAGGGTTTCCCACTTTTCTTGAAATAACCTCCTGGAAATGATTTGGTGAAATTAAAACAATTAAAAAAACAAAAAAACTCCTTTTGGCTCTATAAACCATTTTGATCTGACAGTTGTGACGATAATTGTCCTCTGGCTGCAGACAACATAAAGGCCACAAATGTCATCACGTTGCTGCAGTAGCCGATCTGCACGCAGGGGGGAGCACTTGCACCAAAGATGGCTTGCGCTGAATTTCTCTTGCACCGGATTGGATATTTTTTTTCCTTCGGAGAATTTCAGGAATCTCTGTGGGGGAAAAGCTACAAACTTTACATCTACCACAAAGGCTTGCACAACACGAACTGCCACTTCCTCCTAGAAAGCGGTTACGTTAAATGCCGGATATTTTTTTGCAGCCCTAGATTTCACAAGATGAGTTTTCAGGAAAAGATGGAGAAGCAGAATAAAAGCAGAAGAACGTTTCTTTGTGGCATTCATGGTAAGTGTGTCACAGAGGGGTCTAAGGCGGGAATAAGACCACCTCAGATCCACACAGCTCAGGAGAACCAATCAGATCTGCTCAGTGTAGTACGCCCCCATACCGAACGGTGAGAGCAAAACCAGGAGATGACCAATCCGATCCGCTCAGTGTAATACGCCCCATACCGAACGGTGAGAGCAAAACCAGGAGATGACCAATCCGATCCGCTCAGTGTAATACGCCCCATACGAACGAACGTGAGAGCAAAACCAGGAGATGACCGATCCGCTCAGTGTAGTACGCCCCATACCGAACGGTGAGAGCAAAACCAGGAGATGACCAATCCGATCCGCTCAGTGTAGTACGCCCCATACCGAACGGTGAGAGCAAAACCGGGAGATAACCAATCCGATCCGCTCTCAGTGTAATACGCCCCATACCGAACGGTGAGAGCAAAACCAGGAGATGACCAATCCGATCCGCTCAGTGTAGTACGCCCCATAGGGAGCGGTGAGAGCAAAACCGGGGCCCATTTAGACGCGGCAGATTACACAAATGTTGGATTATGAGCCAAGCCATCAACAGGCCATACAGTTATGTCGGCCATATGCAGATCGAAATTCAGACAGTTCAGTGGGGACTGGCCGATTTCCAACCCATGTATGGGCAGGATGACTGTACCGAAGTCTATCGACTGATCGACATTTGTACAACCCAACAACCAGTTGGGATTTTCCTGATCGATCAGTGCCCTCAGCTACAGCCGGCGGCACTGATCAGTTTATTCTGACAGCAGGAGAGCCTCCTCACTGCCAGGATACAACTCAGCAGGCGATTTCCTCCGTCCACATAGAGTGTGTTGATGGGGAATCGAGATCTTCATTCAACCTGGTTCCTCAGGGTGTCAACCACCAGGTTCCAGCAGCTGATTTATGGCCAGGACTCTGCGGAGCTAACAGAGGAGAGATCTGTATGTAAATCTGCACAGCAGAGCAATACAAAGCAGCATGTCTCCTTAGTAAAACACAGAAAACAGTTAACCCTTAGATCTCCCCAGATGTTAACCCCTTCCTGCCCAGTACCATTAGCACAGATCACTGTATTGGTGTCACTGGGGATGTCAGTGGCAGTGACAAGTTTCATTTGGGTGCAAAGTTGCACGAGCGGGCAGAGCGGGCAGAGCGAACGCCGGGGGAGAGCGGGCAGAGCGAACGCCGGGGGAGAGCGGGCAGAGCGAACGCCGGGGGAGAGCGGGCAGAGCGAACGCCGGGGGGAGAGCGGGCAGAGCGAAGCGGGGGAGAGCGGGCAGAGCGAACGCCGGGGGAGAGCGGGCAGAGCGAACGCCGGGGGAGAGCGGGCAGAGCGAACGCCGGGGGAGAGCGGGCAGAGCGAACGCCGGGGGAGAGCGGGCAGAGCGAACGCCGGGGGAGAGCGGGCAGAGCGAACGCCGGGGTCCGGGGAGAGCCGGCAGAGTGAAGGTTACAAGGGCCCTATCCGCTTATAGCCATCAGCATGGATCCTTCTTCTGAGGTCAACAGTTTCAGCTGATTGCACACCAAAATCCTGAATATCCATGTATGTGCGTTACCTGGGCTGTTTGCAGATTCTTCTGCTGTCATCTGCATAAGTAAGGCGACCTGCTGCCTCTCCGATAAAGGGTACCCGACCCGGATTCCTGAAAGGCCAATGCCAAAAGGTAAGCCAGACTTCCGGTTGGCAGGTTCTTTCTTGATTCGTTTCCTTTCAGGACCCTGTTTTTCTGCAAGAGACAAAATTATTTGTTAAAGGCGATTGACACATATATAACTAACACACACACACACGAAAATAATAATTTGATCCCCGGCAGATTTGTAAGTTTGCCCACTTACACAGAAATGAAGGGTCTATAATTTTTTTCATAGATTTATTTTAAATGAGAATCTCAACCAAAAATCCAGTAAAAACACGATGCAAATGTTATAAACCGAGTTGAAGTTCAGTGAGTAAAGTATTTGATCCCCAACCAACAATGATTCTGGCTCCTACAGACTGGCCATGTGCTCATGTGGTACACAGATTAGTCCTGTCAATGTAAGAAGGCGCTCGACAACTCATTATGTGTATACAAAAGACGCCTGTTCACAGATTCGTTCTTCCATTCAAACCTCACCACCACCATGGGCAAGACCAAAGAGCTGTCAAAGGACGACAGGGACAAGATTGTAGATCTGCACAAGGCTGGAATGGGCTACAAGACCATCAGCAAGAAGCTCGGTGAGGAGACAACTGTTGGAGTGAATATTTACAAATGTTCGCAATACAAACTACCCAATCGCCCTCGTCGGTCTGGAGCTCCATGCAAGATTTCACATCATGGGGTAAGGACGATCATGAGAGGGGTCAGCCTAGAACTACACAGGAGAAGCTGAAATGATCTCCAGGCATTTGGGACCAAACAAACCATTGGTAACACAATAGGCCGCTATAGATGGAAATCCTGCAGCGCCCACAAGGTCCCCCTCCATCAAGAAGGCACATGTACAGGCCCACCTGAAGTTTGCCCAACATCTAAATGATTCAGGAGGATTGGGAGAAAGTGCTGGGGTCAGATGAGACCAAAATTCAGCTCTTTGGCATTAGCTCGACTCGCCGTGTTTGGAGGAAGAGAAATGCTGACTATGACCCTAAGAATGCCATCCCAAAAGTCAAGCATGGAGATAGAAACATTATGCTTTGGGGCGGTGTCTCTGCTAAAAGGTACAGGCCAACTTTGCAGCATTGAGGGGTCAATGGACGGGGCCATGCATTGGAAAATCTTGCTGAGAGAAGGAGGTTCTAAACCAGGAACACTGAAGATGGTCGTGGATGGATCTTCCAGCACAATGACCCAAAATATACCGCCAAGGCAACAAAGGAGTGACTCAAGATGCACATTAAGGTCATGGAGTGGCCTAGCCAGTCTCCACCACCTCAATCCTATAGACAATTTATGTAAGGAGCTGAAAATTAGTTGCCAAGCAACAGTCAAGAAACCTTATCCATATAGATAAGATCTGGAAAGAAGAGTGGACCAAAATCCCTCCTGAGATGTGTGCAAACCTGGCAACCATCTACAAGGAACGTCTCACCTCTGTGCTCACCAACAAGAGTTCCTCCACCAACTACAAGGAACGTCTCACCTCTGTGCTCACCAACAAGAGTTCCTCCACCAACTACAAGGAACGTCTCACCTCTGTGCTCACCAACAAGGGTTCCTCCACCAACTACAAGGAACGTCTCACCTCTGTGCTCACCAACAAGAGTTCCTCACCAACTACAAGGAACGTCTCACCTCTGTGCTCACCAACAAGGGTTCCTCCACCAACTACAAGGAACGTCTCACCTCTGTGCTCACCAACAAGGGTTCCTCCACCAACTACAAGGAAACGTCTCACCTCTGTGCTCGCAACAAGAGTTCCTCCACCAACTACAAGGAACGTCTCACCTCTGTGCTCCCCAACAAGGGTTCCTCCACCAACTACAAGGAACGTCTCACCTCTGTGCTCACCAACAAGGGTTCCTCCACCAACTACAAGGAACGTCTCACCTCTGTGCTCGCAACAAGAGTTCCTCCACCAACTACAAGGAACGTCTCACCTCTGTGCTCACCAACAAGAGTTCCTCCACCAACTACAAGGAACGTCTCACCTGTGTGCTCACCAACAAGAGTTCCTCCACCATCTACAAGGAACGTCTCACCTCTGTGCTCACCAACAAGAGTTCCTCCACCAACTACAAGGAACGTCTCACCTCTGTGCTCACCAACAAGAGTTCCTCCACCAACTACAAGGAACGTCTCACCTCTGTGCTCACCAACAAGGGTTCCTCCACCAACTACAAGGAACGTCTCACCTCTGGGCTCGCAACAAGAGTTCCTCCACATCTACAAGGAACGTCTCACCTCTGTGCTCACCAACAAGAGTTCCTCCACCAACTACAAGGAACGTCTCACCTGTGTGCTCACCAACAAGAGTTCCTCCACCATCTACAAGGAACGTCTCACCTCTGTGCTCACCAACAAGAGTTCCTCCACCAACTACTAAGTCCTGTTTTGCTCGGGGATCAAATACTTATTTTCCTCACTGAACTGAAACTCCATTTATAACATTTGTATCGTGTTGTTTCTGCACTTTTGGCTGATATTCTGGCTATTTAAAATACACCGATGATAAAAATCATAGACCCTTCATTTCATTGTAAGTGGTCGAACTTACAAAATCTGCTGGGGATCGAATTATTTTCTAGTGTGTGAGAGAAATAACATGACAACGCAATGTGGTACATCATTTGCTTCCTCCAAGAACAGAACGTCAAGACAGACTACTACTCCAAGCAAGCGCTTTTCCTCAGCAAAAACCCCCCAAAAACCTGAATCGCTCCAGTCATTTCAGTCACAAAGGGGGACCAACATAACCAGAGGGGTAGATGCCTCCAATTCCTCGAAGGGCCCATCCTGAGAGCCTGACAACCAAACGCTGTTTCACAGACATTTTAGCATTCCGGTTGAACATTCTGCAGTTTTATTGGTTTTCTATGGCTGTAAAACATGACTTTTTCCAACAATGTACGCTGCAAGTTGGAAGTCTCCAGAGCAACGACCCACAAGTATTCCTTTAATCAAGTAAACGCCATCTGGGGACCAGATTTGAGCAGTTATGTAACAGGGACCATGCGAGAGACATTTTAGCATTGAAAAGGATCCAATTGAATAAAACATGCAGCCAACAAGACAAATATCCACAGTGAGGTTTAACCAATGAAAGCAATCAGATCGAAAGCAGCTAGACATCTAGAAGAGACCGGCACATTGTCTCCAACCGACAAGCATGCAGACCTAGGTCTGACTGCAGCAATCTATGCACTCTAGACCAGTGGTCTCCAAACTGCGGCCCATGGGGGCCACATGCGGCCCTTTGCTTGTTTTTATCTGGCCCTTGCACTATTTAATCCACTGACAACAAATTCCTCCCAATGATACACAACGATGGGGTACAGCTCCCTCCATTGAAACCATCGATGGAATGGGGCCCCCATTGACACCATCAATGGGGCACAATTTCTCCCATAGACACCATCGATGGGGCACAATTTCTCCCATAGACACCATCGATGGGGCACAATTTCTCCCATAGACACCATCGATGGGGCACAATTTCTCCCATAGACACCATCGATGGGGCACAATTTCTCCCATAGACACCATCGATGGGGCACAATTTCTCCCATAGACACAATCGATGGGGCACAATTTCTCCCATAGACACCATCGATGGGGCACAATTTCTCCCATAGACACCATCGATGGGGCACAATTTCTCCCATAGACACCATCGATGGGGCACAATTTCTCCCATAGACACCATCGACACGGGCACAATTTCTCCCATTGACACCATCGACACGGGGGCACAATTTCTCCCATTGACACCATCGATGGGGCACAATTTCTCCCATAAACACCATCAATGGGGCACAATTTCTCCCATAACACCATCAATGGGGCACAATTTCTCCCATTGACACCATCAATGGGGCACAATTCCTCGCACTACCACCAAAAAATGGGGCATGGTTTACTTACACTGATGCTGGGACATTTTCCGGTCCAGCCCCCCTAAAGTCTGAAGGACAGTAAACTGGCCCTTTGCTTAGAAAGTTTGGAGACCCCCTTCTCTAGGCACTCAAGATCGGGGAGTCAACAGCCAGTAGATGGCAGCCAGGTGACTGGTAGATCGCAGTCTGGGCTTGCTGACCCACATAGCAGAGCATCAGGGTGTGATGCAGAGGGACTACTTGTAAAGTTGGAGCTGCAGTAGAGAACAAGAGCCGCATAAACGATTCCTCCTCTGTAGTACCGACTCTCCCCTTCAATCAGCTCACATCTCTCCACACTGAACTCTGCAGTTTGTAATATCCGCTCCCGGCCCTTTATCTAACAGCTCAGACAAGCTGTATAAATTCTGGACTTTGAACAGATGTAGCAAAGAGCAGGCTAAAGATAAACAGGTACAACTCATGTAGGAGGATTTGTCTGTCACCTGAGGTCAGTCACTTCATTTGGATATATGAAAGGGTTTACAGCCATATCTATTGCCTGCCAAAGAGAAAGCGGGAAAATAGGGGGAGAGAGGAAAAAAACTTTCCTGAGGAGGATAGAAAAAATAAAGGGGGGCATGTGTGGTGGGCTTTGTGGCCTGAGGAGAAGAAAGTCACCAGCACATCATGGATCTCCAACATTTCGGAGCCCCGCAGCACCCAATCATTAGGCATGTGGTCAGACGCCAGATAAAGGGGTTCTGTGAGGCTCCAAAATGTTGCTCTTACTGTAACTATGATCACTTCACAAAGCTTTGGATCCACATTGGAGATCCACGGGTGTGTGCTGGTGACATTCTCCTCCGACTGTTCTCGGTTCCAGCCGATAGTTGCTGCAGCACCTGCTTACACACCCAGCCATCTCGGAACGCAGGAACACGTTCACTGGAACTGGCCTTGCACACCAACAGCAAAGTACAGTCTAAACTCAAGTGATCACTGTAGGTTTTCCACCAAAACTTCAAAAATTTGGTATAAGTGTTGGCTGATATGAGCTTCTCATGAACCCCAATGCTTGACCTCCGTGAAACTGAGAAATGGCCTCCATCAGGATCTAGCTAGGCTGTTGGGAACCCAAATCCCACGAGCCTCCTCTGGTTGTTGGTGAGGGTCGGGATGGACTTGTGCAATACGGCCTCCCAT